CAGCAAATATGAAATTAAGACGGAATCCACCAGGACACCCATCGGAGACCTTTAGATCCAACGACTACGAGTACGAGATTTGACTTAAAGTTTTTTCGCGTATTCTCAAATTATAGACTCCCCGGAAAGCTTCATTTTACCATTTTTCACTAGAGAAATTAGCATTGTTACCTTTAGTGAAGGAGGTTACACCCACTCCCATCGCAAAATGATAAAACTTCTCACATTTGATAACTTGTTTCCGCCACTTCGACATCCTCGCTAAAACTAGTAGTCGGGTGACGACGGCTACCACATTTTCCCGCCAGAATGACTCTGGTAGAAAATCTCGTACTCGTAGTCGTACTCGTCTTGTCTTAGAATCTAAAGCTCTCTATCGAGTACTTTTGATTTTCAGTGGACAAAAATGATCTTGTACCAGAATAATTTAAAGAAATTAAATTGCATTCTTTTTTACATTTTTCAAGGGCTAACTGAGATGCAATAAATCATCTGTAGTAACACCAAAAATAATTTTTCATGGAAGTCCGAGAAAAGAAATGTTAAATTTCACAAGAATTGTGATTATAAAGGTAAAATTCCAGAAATTCATCTGTAAGATAAAATTTGGGGAAATTTGACATCCATTTTCTCGAGCTGCCATGAGAAATTTTTAAGGTGTTACTACAGATGATTTATTACATCTTAAGCCCCTAAGAAAAAGAAAGAGAGCAATATGCCTTAAGTTTTTCTAGTACAAGATTTTTGTACTTAATATCCTGGTGGATTCCGTCTTAAACAGTATCAGCACAGGAAAGCACCGTTCTGTAGCTTACATTTGATTGGTGTAAAAGTAGCACACACTTGACCTATCGCGGCATGTACCTATATAAAGTTTTAATTGCTCTAAAAAGATACCAAAAGTCATGAAGAAGAAGAGAAAAAGGACGAAACTCGGGATTTCAATGTGGCACAAATTCTCTAAATTTTTCATTTTGGGCAAAATCAGTAGGTGCTGACTACGACAAGGGTTCCGCTACCGCAAAAATGTCGAGTTAGTAAGGCCACTCAATGTTATTCATTATCTTCATTCATTCATTCATTCACTCATTCATTCATTTATTCATTCATTCATTCATTCATTCATTCATGGTTTATTTATTTATTGCATTAAACAGGCAGATCTATACCTAAGTAAATTTAAGCTAATGCTAAGGCCTTCACTGACTGGTAGAGATATTGAATTAAAAAAGTAGAAATTATTTTACGTTAGAAAACAAAAACAAAAGAGAGGACTTATGACAATAATTAACGGAAACAAAAATCCCTAAATTTACAGGCTGGGATGCTGCAACTTATTTATTTCACATACAGCGTAGCCTGCGTAGCAAGCGTTTCCGCTCGAGTTCGTCGAGAAAGTTGGGACGAGAGCAAAAAAAAAAGGAATGACGGGGGAGGCGGGGGGGGGGGGGGGGGGGGGAAAGGGGGGGGGGGGGGGGGGGGGGGGGGGGGGGGGAGAGAAGAAGGAAACGCTTGCCCGCAAACCTCACGATTTTTTCGGCTACCAAGGTTGGGCACTGGCTACGAAGCGGCCCGACTGGTAAACCTTTATATATAGAGAGAAAACCGTTTACATAAAAACCCATAATAAAATAAAACGGCCATAAATCGGCCCGTGGACCACACAGGAGAGACGTAACACACATTTTAAGTAAGGTAAGCTGTGTTTTATTGAAATCCTTTCATTTTCGTCGGTTACAGAAACGATAGGTTTTTTTTCCCATACAAATCCTTATATTTTGAATGTTACACAACAATGCCGATGCTCGCCGATGCTCATATTTCGAGCTTGGGCTACCTGTGAGATAAGGCGACAACCGTGGTGTATGCTGTCCGTTTTAACGAAAAGAGCAATAAACAGCATGAAAACAGGTCAATTTATACCAAACTCACAAATATATGCACAACGAGTTCCCCCGCGGATCCACAGATACGCTGGAATTCTTGAAATGCCCGAGAAAAACAACAACTTTGAAAGAGCATCACTCTCTTTTGAAGATTTCTTAACCGTCACTGCACGACTACGACTGGGGAAGTTTCTAATTTTCACTTTTAATTTTATGGAGAACGTAAACACAAGGCAACGATTTTCTTTTTCCTTTTCTGAACTTAGATACGGTCCCTAAGAATTCAACTTCAGACAGATTCCACTATCTTTGACAAACTGAACCAAATGGAATGGCGGGAAGTTTGTAACTGCGAGAATTCACTTTTTAGATGAAGTTTTCACTGCTGTCGCTGTCCTGGCTGGGCCGAAGCTTCCATGGCCCCTTTTGTAAAAAATCGGCGAAAAAAGCAGGGCTCGGGGACTTTAAAGACTTTAAGTTATGAGATTATACTTTTTTCCAATTTCGTCAGGCATGGTCTGATTTTTTCAGGGAATGACTAACCAAGAGAAAGTTTAGGTTGCAATTTAAACACCATGAAACAGGAGGATAAAACACGTTTTCAGCTTAGTCGAGTCGTTTCCTACCGTATGTTTTCCATGTTTTTTTTCCTTTATTTCCTGAAGACTGAAGTCAGGCCGTGTCTGACGAAAGCAGTGTTGGAAGAAAATCTAATCCTATAGCCTTACAGTCATCATGACTTTTTCTCCTTGCTCGCATCTATTTTTTCTTATATTCCAAGGTACTTGCGTTATCTCTTGAAATTAAACAAGCTTACGATTGCATTGTGTTATTTAAAGTCGGTAAAACTGGAATGGTTTGCCGACCTCAAATGCCGTTGTATGCTGCCTGCGTAGCAAGCGTTTCAAATCGAGTTATTGCGCGAAAGTTAGAGCGGGAGCAAAAAAAAGGTTGAAGGGGGAGGGGGAGGGGAGAAGAGGAAACGCTTGATATTTCATGTTCGGTTCATTTGTAAATTGACAGCTCGTCAAAATAGAATTATAACGAACAGATTACCCCTGGATCACTAGATTTGAAAAATTACTTTCCATTCGCGTGTGTTTATGACTTACATTCGTCTTGGTACTCCGTATGGAGATTTGATTTGTGTCTGTGTGACGATTCACTTACGATTCTTTGTACTCTGTAATCTGCGGCTATGTACAGATGTTATGAATGCGTCACTGGTCATCACGTTAGAGTGCCCTGCGCTTGGTCGAGTAGTTGACAAATGGTCCCGTATCACTCGTTCCTCTGGTTATCCTTCCCTAAGTCAACCGCGGGACCGGCAAGTTGGTGAGTCAACCGCTGGTATGCCTTCGATAGGGTTGTCTAATACCCTTAATTGCTCTGTCCCTGGACGGGGTATTTCGGGGCTGCTTCGCGGTTGACTTTTCCCCTTTCCTACCATTTCGTTGGTTAGTTTTGCCCTTTAGTTTTTTTATTTGTCAGCTGATTTGTAGGCCTCACCCCATTACAACGCTCGTTACGATTTCCTCCCGGTTCAGATATTGCTTTATACTATCCGGCGGTGTAATAGGGAAGGGGAAAAGTCTCGCGTTGCAGTCCCAGGCTCACTCCGCCTTCCATAGCGATCACGGTGAATTTAAGATCTTTACGCCAGTTTTCCCTTGAGGTTATTTTACTTGTCTCTCCCTTTTTTAGTCATTGTGCTAGGACTGTCAAGATTTGTCAATAATAAACCTTTTCTTTTGAGTTTTGGGGAGAGTTACGTGTTTCTGGTTTATCGCCGGGTAGTTCGGAGTTGATATTTTGCCCTAGCTACCGGGAAGTGGCCGCCGTAGGGCTCACCTCTTCCCATAACTCATCTCTACCTTGGGGCGTTTGCGAGTGGGGGCTCCCGGTGATGATTTATTACTATTCCTTTTTGCCGTTCGCGTTGCTGTTCCCGTCGATGTCGTTGAGTAAGCTCCCTAACTTTGCTGACTAGTGGTCCATCACAATCCGGTAACTTTGTTTTCTACTGTGGCGCTTTCTATTGACTGGCGCGTATCTCGTGTTTGTTTTGAAAATGAAAGCCAAATGCGGACCGAGCACCAAAACACAAGTATTTCAAAACACCCGTTCATTTCAAGGCTCGAACTGAAGAAAGCGTTGTTCTGCTTGTGTGAATAAAGAAAAACTTTTGACAGATATAGATACAGATAAGTTGGCTCTTATATCTGACTGTCCTTTTCTCATGTGTGTTTTCTATGTTCCTTCCAATGAAACGATATCTCAATAAAACCCAGAGCAATGAAAGGACAGTTAGAAATTTTTCTGAGACTGTTAAAGGTACACGCTCTATGCGGTCATGGGTATTCATAAACTAAACATCCTTGGGTGGAGACTTCCAAATAGAGTGACAATTTCTTCCAGATCAACAGGTAAATCGTACTTGATATGCATTAGAGCAAGGGAGGAGAGCCTACTCTTACCCATGGTACACATTGTTACAATTCAACGTGCACCAACTCAATAGTTTATGTATATATAGTTTTGAACTTTGACAGTGACACTTTGACAGTACCCAGTCTTCTTAGCAATGCTTATTAAGAATCTAAGCTACGACTGTAATAAAGTTAGCAGTTTTCTGAATTTTTTTAGGGTTTTCCGCTACCTCAATTTTTACGTCCCAAAAGGGGTTCGTCCGAACCCTTTGAACCCCCACCCCCCCTCCTACGCGTCTGAATCCATTTACAGAATAAAAGCGCACGTTACTCGCGATCGCGAATTTATGGTGGCCCACAACTGTCACGGCAAAAACAAAAACCTCACGGCAATAACAAAATACCTCACGGCAAAACCAAATGCTTCACGGCAAAAGCAAAATAGCCTTGGTTTTGCCGTGGGTATTTGCTTTTGCCGTGAGAGTTTTGGTTTTGTCGTGAGGTATTTTGTTTTTGCCGTGAGGTTTTTGTTTTTGCCGTGAGGTTTTCGGTTTTGCCGTGAGGTATTTTGTTTTTGCCGTGAGGTTTTTGGTTTTGCCGTGACAGTTGGGGGCCACCGCAATGAGATCCAGCCCGGGCCTGCGACAATCCCACAATGCAGCTGATTCTTAAATCTTGGGGGTATCCATGTTTTCTTTGCCATGCTTAAAGCTAAGGACAAAAAGAATTTTTATTGGCTTTTTATTTGTTTTTTGCTAGGTAAGACTGAATTTTGTATGTATAACGATTTAATTCAGAGAACAAACGTTTCGCTTTGAATAATTCATGAGGCAGTAGTTACGAAGTTTCGAGTATACATGCTTAAGACCTTTTTAACTCATCGCTGGTGGATGCAGAGCTTACATCCTTGCGCGAGGAACCATTCCATACCCTTTCTTGTCATTTCCTATCCCTTTCCTAATTCTTTTATCCGCTCATAATTCATTCAATGTCATCACACCTCCTTGACATCCATGCACTGTTTGAAATCCTGGCTCATTTCTTCCAGACTGATTACATATGAAAGGTCTAGTGTAAACGGAATTTCCTATTTGCTTATGATTTTTTTAGTCCATCAATGCTCTGCTTCCATCAAGAAGTGGCTTCCAAATACTAATTTCAACAACCCAGCTAACTGGGATAAAAGGAGAGTACCAAGTGATGGAGAAGATGTAAAGCTAGACAAGGTGCTAAATGTTTTAGTGAACTCCATGTACTTATCCAGCTAAAATTTTCATTTTAAACCCCTTTTTCATAAGAACCTATTTAGCCTAAAATTTTCATTAGTTTCATGTTTTACAAAAATGAATGGACAGATGAAAAAAAAAAGTTTAGTTTAGGTTCTAGGCGGTAAGATGAATGTACACAGCATTTTATGGACACTGCAGCATGAAAGACATGCGTGCTAGTACTTTGGAATTTTGGTTATAAATTTACTGTATGGTTATCATCTAAACTGTATTCTAGATAATTATTATTTTAATACAGCAATATTTTCCATATGCCCTGTAGTAGTTATATCTGTGCTGACAGCTTATAAGACAGTGCCCCTATAAAATTAAGAACCCATTTAAGAACATAAGTAGCCTAAAATCCCACTAAATACCATTTCTATAAGAACCTCTTTAGGCTAAATTGGAAAAACCTAGGTTCTTATACGTGGGTTTTTACTGCATTTCAACTTTTTTCAATTTTTCCACTTTATTTACACTTCGAGTCTTATTTACTTTACAAATTAGGTGAAATTAGGGGAAATAGGAATAAGCATTCTCTTCTAGAACTGAAAAAATAGTTTTTTTTAAAATGTGATATTTATTTTAGTCTTTCCAATATTGATGACCTCTTGACTTACTACTGTTTTTGAATACTTTTATCAAAGGGGAACAAGCCACTGGCAGTATCATTAAGAAGAAGTCACTCTCTTAAATCTCTGGTGAGCAATATTTGTGGATCATAAATCAATAAAATTAATTTTTTGATCAATATGTTATATACTGGCTGACGTTTAATTAAATAGGATATACCTGTGAGGGCCTGTATTGTAGATCGAACTTAAATACGGCGTAAAATTAATTTTTTAAGTAGGCTTATTCTCACTTCTTTTTTAATTCTCTCCTATATAGCCTGAAGGTATTCCTGGAGGCTATTTTGTGAAATTTCCCCTATATCTACCCGCATCAAATCTAATCTAATAATCTCTCAGAATTCATCAAACTTTCACATGTAAAACTTTATTCCATGCAACTTCTTCAAAAATTATGCTCAGTCTAAAAGAATGAAAGGAGTGTATGAAATTTGATATTTTGATGGGCGTGGTCAAAACCGTAAATTTTACTAGTTTGAAAATACACTCCAGAGAATTTATTCCACTTCCAGCAGCCTCTGGCAACTGATAGATACAGTTAAAAGCAACAGTCGTACGGGAGTACGTCACGGGAAAAGCAATTGGAAAAAAAATATGTCTCTTAGTAGAATTTTGCATTTCTATGAAATGTCTGAGATCACTGCGAGACGCATTTTCAAAGGCTTTTGACGTACTCCCATGAAAATCTTCTGTAACCTATGCAGTTTGCGTCTGCCAAGTTTCAAGTGATTACCATAAACATGAATATTTAGGAGACAAAGGAAATTGAGAATCAAACCTAAAGTTAAAAATTTTAAACCTGAATAACAACTCAGTTTTGACCTGATAACTTAAAATTATTATGTAACCATACACCAAGAAGATGAGAGATCAACTCACTGAGCAACTTAACTTCAGTTTAAGAAACAATTTGATGGCAATTCAGGCTTAAAGATCATAATTAACCCCATCCAAAGCCTAAATTCCAGGGCCCAGTTGTTCGAACGTCGGTTAGCACTAACCCAGGGTTAGATTTTAACCCGGACTTCTTTTTCTTTTCATCAAAGGTACTCTCTCGGATTATTTTCTATATTTTTTTAAAGTATCCAATCATCAAATTGTAGGCAAAAAGAATTAAACTGAATTTGTTTTTTAAGCTCTCAAATCTGAGTTCAAATTTGGCACTAACCCTGGGTTATCTTAACCCACCTTCAAACAACCCGGCCCAGGTTTACGTAAGTCTAATCTGGGCCAGGTTGTTTGAAGCCAGGTTAAGATAACCCAGGATTAGTGCGAAATTTGAACTCAGATATTAGAGCTTAAAAAGCAAATTCAGTTTAATTCTCTTTGCCTACATTTTGATGACTGGATACTCCAAAAAGAGTAGAGAAAATTATCCAAGAGAGTGCTCTTGATAAAAAGAAAAAGAAAGCGTGGTTAAATTTAACCCCGGGTTAGTGCTAACCAGCATTAAAACAACTGGGCCCTGATGACTGTTAACCACTATACCACTTTGCTTTAGATCACATGATCAATCTCTCTGTCAAGAAGGGTTAGTGTAGAAACAAACTTCAAAAAGAAGACTATTTTTATTATTACTGTACTGTTTCTATATATATTACCTCATGATTGTTGCAATTTGTTTCAGAGTTTGCCCATCAATGGAGAAGTAATATTTTATGATGGTGCTGAAATACAATTTTGTGCCAGTGAAACAAATTCCTGTAATGGTGGGTGTGGATTATAGTTTTTGACTTAATAGGTCATCAGAGTTGTCAATGTGCGGAAAGTATCTGAAGGCTGGCTGAAATACTTAGAAGCTGATTTAGCTATTATCCTTTAAGAATCAGAGGAATACTAGACCAGGAGCCCTGAATTTGTACAGCTGGCAAAAAAAAATGACTGAGTTAAAGATACTGGCTGCTGATGACAGTTTTCTCTTGGGTCCCCAGTTTCTTTTACTGCAATTATTAATATAGGAAATATACCTATCTGAAATTTGTTTTATTTCTTAAGTATCTGAATTCACGAAAGGACACATTAGAATTGTTTGTTTGGTTGTTTTTTTTTTGTTCAAGACTCAGGAGATATTCATTTTCTGGCCTCTGTTCAAGATTGGTATAATCCTTACAACTGGCAGGATATTGCATCATTAGCTTCTAGCATCATCCTTCACACAGATAACGTGCCTTGTGTTCATGATACTGCTGTCTTTCCACAGGTAATTATAATAATTAAAGCACTAAGCCATCTCACTTTGTACATTCAATGTATGAATTTTGGATATCCAATACCACAGTTTTCTTGGAAGCATAATTTGTGCAATATAGAAAAAGGCAACTCTCCCTTTGTTTTACTAGCAAATGTGCATTGCACTTTGAATGAAAAATTAAACATGTTGACCCAAAGTCACTTTTTTGCGAGGCTGAATCGCTATTTAATTTAACTTGAAGACTTGAAAATTATCATGTTGTCATTTTTCTTATCAAAGTACATCCAGTACAATTGCATGCATGCTATATCCAAACCCTCACTGTTATTTAAAGCCCCTCATTCCCCAATGTTTATCCATCAATCAAATTAGCTTAAAATGAATTAATCCTTGCTGCTAATAAGGTTAATGTATGAGATTGACAGTACGTTGAATTGATGCAACAACAACACAGTGCCAGTCATCCAGACCCTTAGAAAAGGAGGCCCGGGTCTCCAAAAAAACTTTTTGCGGCCCTGGTCTAAAAATAAGGGGGGAAGGGGGCAGCGTCCCCCAGGCCCCTCCCCTGAATCTGCCACTGCAACAACAAGTTCATTCAGTATTACCATTTCTGTACATGGTGTTACTGACTGAAATACAAATAATTAACAGATAGTTTTAAGGAAATACAAATAATGGTATAATTAAGTATTATTAAGTTTCTTTCATCTTTCAAATGCTTGAAAAACGAAATTAGCAGTTAGCGTGTTGATAATAAGTGAATCAGTATTGTTGAAAAGAAAACAGACTTTATCGTGGTTATTGTAATTTGTATTAAAATAATAAAAATAATGTATTTCATGCCATTGGTAATATGTTTTTATAAGATCCTTTTCTCCCCTCAGAAATTTCCAAGGACTCTCATCTATGGGTTGGGTATGGATGTTATTTAAGTCCTTTAAGCTACTGGTTCATTCATGAACTGTGTCTCATTTTGTTCTTTGACAGGACAGTTCATTTCTAGTCAGTTCCAGTATTCCTGTCAAAGTTGCTGCTGTTGAATTGTTTGGTCAGGTACACTCTCCTTGCTTTATCAGATGAGTGTGAGACATTAATGTGGCATGGTGTAGTGTTTTGAGCAAAATAGGGTATTAACCTGTTAATCCATAAGTCCCTTAGTTTTCAGGTTAAGCCTGTGCCAGGCTCTCAGTTTGTAGGGATGAGCAAAAAGAAAAAGCAAAAGTGGGGCTGTGGTCTAGATTTTTCCCACCAGGTATTTTCGTAATTTTTCGATTCATGCTTGCTTGCTTGGGCCTAGGCATGTCATATTCTAACTAATTTTCATTCTACAACAAAAAGCTGGGAGGGCTCCGTGGGCAAGGAAAATTTGAGAGCTTGTTTTTTCTTTTTTAAATCTTGCATGCTGTTGAAATCCAACTTTGATGTATTTCCGGCAAATTTTCTCTACATTGGTTATGCTCCAGTTAGATATTTTATTTGGCATCACATATGAACATTTTTAACTTAAAAGTTTTTACAGTCATGTCCTGCATACACTGATGGTGTACAAGATACTGGATATTGGATTACAGTCACCGGAGACAACTTCCCAAAACTTTCAGTTGCCTTATATTTTCTGCAAAGTTGACTTGTATATAGTGGTCCCTGTGTATAACGGTCACCTTGCCATTTCCCAAGGGTGACCACACAGGTTTGTACTGTACTTATTTCCCATTGACACATTTGTCAATTAACACTAAATATTTATTGGTAGAGGCAAAGCTCGAAGAGTTTCAAGGATTTTTATTCCGGTGAATCAGGAAGGTTACAGTTTAACTTGACTGAGTCAGCTGATATCACAGCTGTGGAATGTATTGATTCCACAGGCTGCCCATGTGGAACCTGGAAGGTAATGTCAGGCACTCTGCAGCTCTTTTTATGCTTATCCCCTGTAAGGAGAGGAACATCGACAGGACTTTTGATAGCGACAGAAATCAAGCTTACAATCATGGACAAAAGTCCTTGGGACCGTAATGCAGTATTCATATTGTTCTGTAATTTCTGGATGCCCTCATAAAACAGTGCATCCTTTTCGAAATTTTCTTGCAGTTCTCCCTCCCCCCTATACAAAGTTAAAACTCGAACAAAATTCTGAGTGCTCACATCCAACATTGTTTGTGGGGTAAGGGGAGGGGCTGGACCTGTGTGAATTAGAAAATGCCCCAAAAATGCAAAAGTATCTCAAGACTTTTGCCAATTATTGTAGTAAAGATTGCAGAGTAAAAGTGAGAACCAGTACAGCATCCTGGACAAAACCTAGCCTCATGCGAGCATTAGTCATTCATTTTGAACGTCAAGAGAATGCATAAGCTCACTCCTCACTCTCGCATCCCCCTTCCACGTGACTTCGTTCAAAATCCTTAAAATAGAGAGCTGCTTTCCCATAAGCTAAACAGCATCATTAAAGGAATGTACTGCTTAGTACCTTTTGATTTATTGGTGTACGGTTCACACCATCCATTTACAGACTCCAAAGGTTACTGGGAGAACCGATCGTTATTCTTGTACAGCACAAAAAAACAGTATTAAAAGTAAACGAGTACTGCTCAGTGGCTTATTTTTGCAAGTTTGGGGTTCATGGAAAGAATATGATGTTAAATAATGACTCTGACAAATTGACTTTTTATAATACTCATTACGATTATGTTATTTTCAGTTAGCGGAAAATATATGCAGCCATGTTAAGTGTAAGGACCCAGGATGTGCAAAGCCTTTTAAACCCGAAGGAAGCTGCTGTGATATTTGTGGTAAGAACAATAGTTATTTTTTCTGTTTCTAACAAGTTACGTTTACTTGAATACGATTTACTACCGATGTCCATGTGCCACCTGCACCTCTAGCAACTGCACCTACCCTTTTATGATGAAGTCCTCCAAGATAGTTCTATCTTTTGAGACTGCATTTGGATGAAATCATGGGGTGTGACCACTCATACAAATAAAACCCCTTTTGTAGTACATTCACATACTTCTAAAGTGTTATTTTATAATGTATTGCTCATAAAATACCATTAAAGCAGATTTGCGTTTCATCGTTTTACAAAATGAAATTAAGATTTTTTTTCTTTTTACTTTGGCCATTTCCGGGATTAACTTGAAATGGCGACAAAAAAAGACAGTAGAGTCAGATTTCCCAGTCAAAGAACTGCCATATTAAACATGAGATGCAGTACGTGTTTTTGCGAATATCAAGACACGGAGAATATTTTGTTTTGTGATTGATTGCTATATTCACCTAGTCACTGCACCTTTTACCCTGATGTAGTAGTGCATTGCACTCTGATTGAAATGGGCGTTACTATTACTACAGGTACTTTGCTAAAATTGAGTCTAAGGCAAGATTTCAACATGGCGTCTTACAGAGATCTGCTGATGAATGTCTCTCAGAAAGTAAGATATACCGTTGTACTGTACGCACTTTTAACATGGTCGAGCATAAACGCCCGGGTGAACGTAGTCCTGAATAGGACTGTTGTCAACAGTTTCTGACGTTTCAACAACCTGTGCGGTAGTCATCTTCAGAGTCAACTTGAGCTGTATTGTGTCACATGATGGTATTTGACTCTGGTTACTGACCTGATTGGTAAATTAAGTCACGATGTTATTAGTTGTGTGTCAGTTAAGCTCATTTAAGCTGTGATGTTATTGGCTATGAAGACTCGAAATGTCATCGGTGCGCTCCCACAGTTAGGTTTTGAGAAGGTGGGATTCTCATACGTTTATGTTCAGTCTGGTCATTTGTCATCTCATCTTCCTTTTTTGCTTTGTCGTCATTTGGTACCCTTACGTTATTTGACATTCAATATTTTAAGAGCTAATACGGTCTGATGTAGTGATTTTTAAAACTTGTACTTTACAGGGATATGAGGGCGTTACTATTGCCACTTCTAAAACAGAAGCTGGATTTGTGCAGGTGGTCTTAACAGATCAGGAAAATGGTATGAACTTGGTCTTATGGTTCATGATATGATATGTTTCGCGCCTTTGTGTCTACAGATGATATCCTTACTGAGCCGGAATATGTGAAGTTTATGTACCATAAATAATATATTCTCGCTGCTGACCTTTTGCTTCAGGGTTTGTTAAATGGTGACCAACTGTTTTTTGCTTACACGTCAATTCGCTAACTCGTTTACTTTCGCTAACGAAGCAAAAATGATGCTATACAATGCATATACCTCATTATATTCTTTCAGCCGCGACACGATCAACCCCCATACACGTATGTATACCCCGTTCTTTAAGCCACTGATCAGACGAAAGAAGTTAGGGAACTGACCTAGTGAACCTTTTGCGAAAAGACTCAAGACCTTAGCAAACCGGCAAGAAGTTGGCGAAAAGACCGTAAATGGCATGAATAGTTACTTTAAATATTGTGGTGTTGGTCTGGCACAGTCAAACCTCCTTGAGATATCTGGTAGGCCCTGTATACTATTTAGACTGGTGATGTGCTGCTATGATTGATTACATTTTGGAAGCCTGTTTGAAGCGGGTTTTTAACACCATCCTAAACTGCTATACTTCTCGTATCTCAGTTTCAAAAGCCACTTCTAAACTTTTTTTCTAGTAACATCGTTTTCCCTTGTGTCACAATTATCCTAAATCGCTAACCCATGTGTATAAAACCTGTAAGTACATTACTTACATGAAAAGGAAATATTTAAACGAGACACACTATCGCCTTTGAAGTATTACGTTTGTGATATATAACAGTGTTATTTGTCCCTGTATGGACGCTAACAGTGGAATTTACCCTTGATTAATCCTTCTTTAATATCACTTAGCATTATTCTGTACGACTGATAGGCCCCATTTTTTTTTATCCATGAAAAACCCCTTGGTGAGAATTCTAAAATAATATATGTTTTTGTTCTCGCTTTTTAAATTCGTTTTGTAAAGGAATGAAAGCCCAGATTGCAAGTGAACACTTGAAGGATTTGTTGACTTCAGGTAATGTTTTAACCCTTTAAACCCTAAGATCAAAATTTGAATTCTCATTTGTTGCCCCTATTCATTTGGTTCAGAAAGTAGTGGGGAGAAGTTGATAAAATATCAAGCAAATTCATCTTGTGTGATCATGTTCGCTGTTGTCATGACCACTCTGTTTTACGAATCATCGATATTACAAGGAGCAATTTGATGCTGATCATTGGATACGGCAAGGTGTGCAATTCATAATTAACGCTCTCTAACTTTGCTTAAATTTCAAACTATACAGCGTTAAATATCCCACTTATAATCCAGTACCTTAGGATAGTTATACTGTTCACAAGCTCTCTATTTTCTCGAGGCACATCAGAAGGAAAGCATTTAAACAGCGAGAGAAGCGATTGCGAGCTTTACGCACAAGTTCGCATTCAGTTCAAGAGTTTTTCGATCGAAGAAAAATATGAGGGTAGTGTGCAGTCTGTCGAATGGCCTGATACCAGTCAATTATTCGATGAGGTTGAGTATGTAATGAAGAATCCTGTAGATCGAGGAGGATTTTTTCCTCACACTTTTGTCTGCCACCCGACAACGCAACGGCACTCTATTCACAACTATCACAAAAAAACCTTCCTGAACCTCAGTAATACACTGCTGTCAAACTACAAAATTCGCCAACATTTGCCAAACTGAGCGAGATGAAATAATAGAAATGAAGTTTGAAAAAGAGCATGAATGCAGTTTTAGGTGAACGTTTCGCTCCCTGCTCTCCCCTCACACCCCGCCGGGCGGGGCTCGAGGGTTTCGCACGCAAGAATGCGCGTTTTTGGCTCTTCACGCCTTATGGTTTAAGAGAACTGAAGAAACTGGTTAATTTTCATCCTAGTAAAAACAATGAACTGAGAAATTGTTGCCCTGTTTCTTTTCTGCAGAGAAAGCATTCAGTGTTGATAGTGCTGAGGTTCTTAAGCAGTCAGCCACTACTGCTGTAAGTGGAAAAAAGTCGGGTCAGTATGAATTTTGATGAGAATATTTTCTTGAACTGATTAAAAGGGACAGTGAAGCCAAATTTAAGCAGAGCACATAATAAGCGTACACCTCCATCAATGGGTACCTCCTCAGAGCTGCTAATAACAGTTGGTCGTCGGACAAAATCCGACTTAACACTTAACATACTTCTTCCACTCGGACGTTATAACTTAACAGATCAAATTCCATTGATTTTCATTTTGAAAATAAAGATTTGCTTGTTACTTTAAGAAACTAAAAGTCAATGTAGAGTATATGACCGGCAACTTTTCTGGTTTTTCCAACTTAACCGACGACTTGGTCAGTTATGTCCTTTGTAAAACAACAAATTATCTGCCTGTTTAAGCAGGCACTAGTGACTGTTAAATGGGTTACCATGGAATGGAGGCTAGTCAGTCACAGGGTTACCAGGTTTATAATTTTATTCAATAAGCAACTCCAAGAATTCACCCTTGCTTCCCAATATTCTTAAAATAATAATTATAGTGCTTTCATATCATCTTATCAAAACCATGGCCAATGGAGGCTAACGACCAGATAAAATCATGCTCTCGTTGATTATTTGTTTTCACTGTGCCTTTTTACAGGAAAACCTAAAAACAACTTGGTTATTCCACTGGCAGTAGGACTAACCATATTATTTCTGTTCCTTGTTACTGTTTTGTTTCTGATCTTTAGACGAACTAAAAGGTGAGTGCTAGTCTACCGTAAATGACCTAATAAACGCCCGGAGCGTCCATTTAATTTTAGGGATCCTAGCGTTTAATAGATAGGAGACGTTTAAAAGAGGGAGGCGTTCATTCTTATAACTGTAACAAGCTCAACGAAACTAATATGCTTTCTGCAAGAATGTCAAGAGAGTTTAACAATAGCGGAATATCCACTCCGTTAGTTGATACGTCTAGGCGGTCTAGTTAACAATTATTCCTCGAGCCCGAATGCGCTCAGAGGCCATAATTGTTGTTTTAGTAAAATCCAACTAGTTGGTCAAAAATATCGAGACAAAACAAATTTCGCTAGTTAAGGCTAGACTTAAATCCTTTTTTGCCGCCAAAAATCCGGCGCTTTTCGCTACTAGTGGGCTATAACATATAGCCTAGTAGTAGCTCAACCAATCAGAATGCAGCATTAACAATAGACCACTGGTTGGATTTTACTAAAGATCCATATCGCTCTTTCAAATCCCAACATCGATGTCAGAATCCTCGCTCAGGGTTATTGTGTTACCATCGTTAGTCTATCCGTACTTTGAACTGGACACAATAAACTGAATTAATTTAATGATTTTGCCCCTTTTTGCTTATTCCTATTCTTTTGGAGTAATTCTTAAAGGAAGCGTCTTGTAGCCAGGGGGCATATATTAGAGAGAGGCGTCTAATACAATTTTAATAGCCTAGCGGGGGCCTTTATATTAGGTAAGATATAGATATTAGATATTTATTTGGAAGTGGGGGTTTGTTAGGTCATTTACGGTATTTTATTACTCAGTTAATTCAAAGGGGACAGACTGCAAATTGTTGTTGCTCGACATATCTATATGCCGTAACTGTTCATCAGTAGAATGCCTAAAATGATTGGACGTGTCACCCGACCAGGTCAACTTTTATTCGGACAAACGCGAAAATTTGTCGCGTTGACTATTATTTCTGCTTCAAAATGATGGTCTTAGGTATTTGACATCATGTCCGACCAAAGCAGTTAATTCAACAGAAAATATGTTCGTCTTCCATACATTTTCTTTTCAACTTAGTTCGACACTTAGTTAAGTTCAACCTTAACTTTGATGCACAGTAGCCCGCGCGACGTAACTAAAATAAGTTCTAACCCAGTAGCAGTTTGGTTCGTCTCATGAAAAGTTCAACGTTTGGGCCTAGCCACATTTTTTTTCGTCTTCATTTTGCACAATCTGGATCCTGCTAAATTGAATATCCTGTAGCATCGATGTAGACCGTATGCAAGCCAATACGTTCGCACCTAAATTTGGTTTGATTTTACCTTATCTAGGATACGAAACCATTCATTTAAGTTTGTTGAAGTTGAAGAGTTTGAGCTAGATGAAATGGATGCTGACAAAGAAGAAGCTAAATTGGAAAAACAATACTCTTCTGGTCCAAGTAGTGATAAATCGGCGGTATGTTGGCATTATTCATATGATAGTAGAATTAATTCATTTTTCTCTTGTCTGTTAATATGCCATTTCCACGATGGCATCATTCTACTCCTTTCACATTTAAATATGTTTATCGCAGAGAGGTTTAAATGATAAAAGTCCTAATTTGCACATCAAAGCAAATCCTGGAGGATTCTGGTCGTTGTAAAATGACGTAGGCGTGCAAATCAGGCCTATTGAATTTGGCTGTTGAATGACGCTTGGATGGCGATATCCCGTCTTTTCATGATCTTGACCTACAATCATCAAAAGTCTTAGGAAGGCTACTACTTTTTACCTCATTTTTCCTTCTTTCCCCCTCCCCCTCGCCCAATGTTGGACAAACCTTAAGTGTTTATGCGCGTAATTTGCTTTACCATATCCCAACATTGATTAGGGGGACGGGGTGTATTTAGCACAAAGGAAAACCATATATTTTTTTTCACTTTAGAGTAAACTGTTGTTAAGTTGTACAACCTTCCAAACTACTTTTGTCCTGGATTGTAGGTCGAAAGTGACTTAGCTATTGGGTGGCGATATCGGGTCTTTTCATGATCCTGACCTAGGACGAAAGTGATTTGGGTGCACTTGTACCATTACATCTAATAGAGACTAAAGAAAACGTGAAATACATGGTCAGAGAAAATTGTGGAAAGTTCGGTAAGAGTGTCAGACCCTGATAAACTGGTAGACTACCCTTGCTTCTCCCCCCACCCCTATCCCCTTCCAGTTTACATTTTGGGGATCTTATAATGTCACGTGTTGGAGGGCCCATCGACCCAACTCGCCAGACTACAATGCGTGTCCAATTTTGTTTCAACATTGGCTGAAAGCTGAACATTTTTCATGCTACACCGTCACGACTGACTTATCTCTCTGTACTCTTTCTCTCCTTTTCCGATGCTGAGTCTGGCGTTTTTTGCAAATGGGTAGTACGTGAATCAACATTTTGGAGGGCGTAACGTACCGCTGAAGTGTTCCAACAAACTTGACGACTGTAGTAGCCAGCGGTCGCTGTCATAACCATGCCAGTCGGCGTTGTTAAACAGTGATCAGGGCAGGGCTACAGCTGTACCCGTGTTGCTGGAAATTGGCCCAGACGCTTCACTATAATCTCTCGCTAAAAAATAAATTATTGATGTTTTATTTTCCAGCTGGCGATGGCTAACCCACTCTATGAAAGTGCAGAAAATGAAAAGGAGTAAACGCTAGTTTGCGCCCAATCTCATCAAATTAGTTTATAATTTTTAAGAGCCACTGAAAGATCTTTGTTGTTTCAGAGGTAAATTAAAGTTAAAGCACGATTGAAAAACACGAGACATCTTCTTACAGATATACTTCGGTTTAAACTTACATTCTTCAGAATTGATGCGCAATGTACAAAGCAAGGGTAAGTTCTGTACATGGCTTTAAAAGGTGCGTCAGTTAAAAAAAGGGTACTGTCCCTCCGTTAAAATTCGATAGAAGTGTTTCAAACTTTTTATGACTGAAATCTACTGAGAGTGACAGTCTCGCGTTGGGTATTCCAATAAAGTAGAAATAATTTTAAAATAGTTAGCTCGAGATGGTCGTTTTCTTTCGCCCTCTTGTCTTCCCCCGCGCCCTTGTTATCCTCCCTGTGACACAGAGGTCACTGCGGTGTAGACTGCAGTCGAGGTCATATAAAACTGTTGAAAACGTCAACTGAGGTGATGGAATATAGAAGAACAAGATTTCAGAAGCTTCAGTTGGCTTGATAGCTGTGCTGGTTAGAGCGCTTCACCGGTATCGCTGGTTGATATGTCCGAATCCCGTCCAAAAAGCCTGAATTTTTTTTCATGCTTTAAAACACAGCCGCTAAAGTTGTGCCTGTGTATACCTGCGGCGAGGATCGTTGTTCTATTAAAATTTATTCAAATGGATTTATTCAAATTTCAAACGCATGGAAAAAGGACATATGACTGCTCAAAACGTTGGCACTAGAAGCTGCAGCGGTAAAGGTAAAGATACACTGCCTTTTGGAACAATAACTTCAATAATTTGGATTTTATCAGAAAGGACAACAGTTAACTGACAAACAAGCTTAGTAGGCAATGCTTAAATAATCTCCATTCTAAATCATGAGATTGTACTAAGGCCTATTTTATTTTCGGTTTATACAGTAGAGGTTTATGCGATCCAACTTAGAGACGTCTCTGTTACCAAACGACAGAGTCCCGTTCACCCAGACGATCAGTTAAAATTTTGGGACCTTTTGTTTGTTTGTTTGTGTTTGTGCAAATTACCTTACTACAAAGTCAATATAGACATTAAATTTCAGTTATTTTATACGAACTATACACAGGGCACGGTTGTTGGAAGGCCGATTAGCGCTAACCCTTGGTTAAATTTGGGCTATTTTTTCTTTGTTCAAAAGCGTTTTTCCAGATAGTTTTCTCGATTCTTTTTAGAGCATCAAATCATCAAATTGTAGACAAAAAGAATAAAAACTAAATTTGCCTTTCAAGCTTTCAGATCTGAGTTGAAATTTTGCACTAACCCTGGGTTATCTTAACCCTTTTTTGAACAACCCGGCCCCAGAAGTTTACTCTAACTACCACGATAAAACTACGAAGATCATCAAAACGTTCTTGAGAAATATTTAAATACTCACGGCCCTCGATACCCAAGTATTATGGGCCAGATCAGCTCGTCTATAGCAGGACCCGTCTTCGTGTTGGGATTTAGATTGATTCGGTACTGCACCAAAACTGCTTCGACGTCGTTGAAGATGGGCTGCACACAGAATGGCCTGTCATGGCAATCAGATCGAATTTCAACACAGTACAAATTGCTGACTTCAGGGAGATGTGGAGCGAAGTGCGAGGCACTGTTCAACTTCATTTCATCAGTTATCACACCAACAGCCAGTCCACTTGTATTGAAAATTCCAACGCTTGTATAAACTGCGTACCCCAACAAAAGATGGTTGGCACCACACACCACCGCAAAATCGCTTGCTCCAGCTAGTTCGATCGTCTTATCTGTGTTAATGTACGCAGTGTCCCTGTTTTCCCCAAATCCGTAGCACCCTTGAAGGCATTTTGTCATGTTTATAACAAGAGGAACGGGGTTGGCAACATAGTCTGGCTCACCATAATAGGATTTCACTGCCCACAGCAACATCTGAAATGTGTATTTGCCAACAAGATCTGTTTCTGTTTCTCCTACAGTCTTCTTGGTTGGTCGTCGTGGGAGGAAACCGTTTTTGTTTACTGGGAATTTGGGTGTTAAATATCGAACGAGAATATTCATATTTTGCAGTGAGATATAACTGTCGATATCTTCGGTATTTGAGTTGACGTCTTGACTCGAAACGATTGACTCTGGCAAAACAAGTCTGTAGATAGTACGAAAGCTATCACGCATTGTTGAATTACCCTCCAAATCAAAAACAGGCAGGTTCGGAATGCTGTCGATGTTCATTGCTTCTACGGGCACGCCTGACTCAACGAAAGCCCACACTATATCCTCAGAAACTTGCTTGTTAGCCGTAGTAATATGAACAAAGAGAGATCTAAACTTAGTGGTGCTGTCGGGATCGCTGACTGCGTTGATGCTTAGATGGTTTCGGGTGTCGTACCATGGAATGTCCACGACTACTCGAGATCCTGGTACCGTTGGATCAGGAGGAAAAACCTCAATGTCCTGTCCTGTGGGGCTGCTCATTGCATCTTTGCAAAAATCTTCATCAACTTGAACGTTACTTTCAGCTTTCTCATACAAGTATGTCCGAATTCCAAAATACTCTGTCTCCGGTGGCATGCAACCAAACAGCACCAAAGCGTGATCTTGATGGGGTTGGTAAAACCCGCTTTTTCCTCGAACGAATGATTCAGGTGTTTCTAGAGGACACTTCTCATCAGGACAAGGAACGAGGGTCGATCCATATGCTACTGACGGATTGTTGTAGTTTAAACAGTCTGGATTTATGTTAGGGTCGGTGGGATCGCAAACCCCAAATGCAGCCAGTCCATTTGTTATGTCATACTTTCCATCCAGCCTTCCCATTGCATCCTGAAGCAGCGTCATTCTGAACTGCGGATTACCTACGTCGCACAGCTGATCAAGATAAGAATGGGCGTTTCGATGGCATGTTGCATGAAGCAGCAAAATCCTAAGAAACAGCTTCATCAGGGGAAGCCAGCAAACTAAACGCTTTTCACTAAAAGAAACTGCTACGTCCACCCTGAAGTTCCACACTGTTTAATAAACCTTAAGCGTCTAATGTAATTGTTCGTGCATTTTCGTTCGTGTGCCATTCCATGGAAACTTGTCAGTTGTTTAAGAACGCATCACTCAGTTAAACTGACACAAATATCATTAGGCTATCATGATTAAAAAAGGGAGAGAGATGTTTTTATATCTTTGTGTAAATGTCGTAGTATCAGCTAATAATCATATGCCACTGGCAGCAGACCTTCAGTTTTAGGGCGCTTTCCAAAAGTCAGAACTGGCGAGCCAGACCATGGCCGGACCAGACATTTTGACAATGAAATAGGCTTTTTCCAAGAGGTTTTGCTGAAAAACCATCTCCTTTTGTGCATAATATTTAGGATTTCACTGATCTAGATGGTTAGTTTTGATTAAAAGAGAAATTCTCATTACGATGGGAATGTGCTGGCCGGTCAGTTCTGACAAATGGAAAGGGGCCTTAGTTTGCGCGGAGCTCTTCATCGTTTTCTACAAAACCTTGCTTCTGTAATCTTCAAAAAGCAAAAGGTTTAAGACGAAATAAATCAGGAAATTGAGTAATTTTGATTTTCAGTGGATAAAAACCTTGTACCAGAATATTTTACACAGTTTTACAAACTTCAAAGGCTATAGATGTAATTAGTTATCTTTATTAATAATACCAAAGACAATTTCTCATTTGGGAGCCTGAGAAAATAAATTTCAAATTTCACAGGAACTGAGAAAACACAGGTAAAATCGTCATGCGTAAGATTTCAATTTGTGAAATTTGAAGCTTTTAATAATTTGAAGTTTGTTTTCTTGGGCTCCCATGAAAACCTTTTCCTTGGAGTTATTTCATATAACTTACTACATTTATAGCCCTCGAAAAGCAGTATGCTTGAAATTATTCTGGTACAAGGTTTTAGTCCACTGGAAATTAAAATTACTCAATTTCCTAATGGATTCCGTCTTAAAAACAAAAACCACTAACTCTGAAGTAGAATTCGAATGAAAACCTAGATACAGTGTTCATATGAGGGTGTACAGTGTTCATATAAGGGTGTTACCGGAGGGTTTTTGGCCTTGACTGTACACAGCCAACAACATATTTTACGTTGGACTAATTAACCATTAGAATTGCTCCCTTTTTGACATTTGTGAACAAAAAAAATCGTGCACGGTCAAGAAGCTCCCAATTAAGATAAACTGTAGCCATTTATTTTCGCCTGTAATATCATAGGTGACGAATTACTCCTTAATTTTGGCGCGAAATTTCAGCGTTAATTTGTAATTTCACTTGTGAAATTACAAAATTGCCATGGCAACCTTCCGTACGTCTCAGTGTCAAGATGGCGACTAAGTTTTAAAATGCCGTGAATGAAGATGTCAGGGCACAAAAAGACGCTTTAGAAAACCTGAGAGCAGGAAAGAGCACATCAAGAAGGATTCTAACAGGTATCTTGCCGAAAAAGTCTGAAAAATTCTGAACTTTATGAGCCAAATTTAAGGCCTAAACATTTGAGGGAGTTGAATTCTCGATCGATACGATCTATGATAAACATGTCAAAAATCCAAGATTGCTAACGTAATTCGTCACCCATGATATTAATAGGTAATCAAATGGTATACTCGTGAAATTAGGGAATAATTTCACTTGCATTTTGTCCAAATCCTAATAAATTATTACGATTTGGACAAAACGCGCGTGAAATTATTCCCTAATTTCACTCGTCACCATTTGACTACACATACTTATTTTTTTGCCGGCTTTATAAACCTGAGTCTTATCTAATAACTATGTTCGAATCAGATTCTGTTATTTGAAACAGTAAAAATAACCGCGAGTAAGAACTGGCATTATCCCAAATTAGCCTAAAGAGGTTCTAACGTAAATGGTACCCAAATTTAGGTAATTTAGGTTCTTCAATAAGTTCTTATTTTGTAAAAAAATATCGTTGTAACTAAGAGTATCCAGTGGTATTCAGCTTATTCCTTATATAAAATCTGCATACCAAATTATTATTTTTGTGAAAATGACTATATGAAAAGAAGAACTGAGGCACTGACCACTTGGGGATCCTGGATGTTGACTTATCTTATTTGCCCAAGTGCTAAGAATTCTTTATGGATTTTGGAAAAAAAAACGTGTTTCACATTTTAGGCTAAGTAAGGGAGGCTAACTGGCAAATCTTCGTCTAAGAGGTTCTTACTCGTGCGTTTTACACACCACTTGTTATAATTATTGAGAGTGAGGTCATTACACGGAAACGTCAGACTGAGGCCTTGATGTCCCTGTAATTACCGAACGGAAGAGATTTATACCTTATTTATCATATGGCCTTTTCATTACGGACCTGAGCTAGCGATCAATTAGAACCAACAACTGGTCAGCGGATAATTAAAAAAACACGTCACCTAAATGAGTTGTTCACTTGAGGGCGCGATTCAGCGTGTAACACTGGTCAGCGGATACCCTTATTGACAGATGACAATTGACCATAATATGGATGTCCATAAGGAAGTCCACTTTCAAGTTAAACACAGATTGTATATGCTTTATGTAATGCCCGGTCATTACAAATACAAGAAAATAATGCCCGCTTAGCGGCCAATCAGAGTGCGCGTACTATTGTAACCATATAGACATAATAATGTACCATATTACGGAGATTTGCTGAGCGGTTTATTCATTTTCTTTGCTGCTTTGATTCTTTAAAAGCACTGATACTGAATTGTGGTAGGTCTTAACTAGCCTTTCTTCTCTAGAACGTTTCTGTTTATAACTTAGTTCATAGAAGCTGTGTAAACATCATAAAAAGATATAAAGACTATTTTGTTAACCCCCTTTATGATAAACCTCGTGTAGAAACCGATCGTGTCATTGGCCCATGTTTTTAGCCTGCAAATACACTTTTCCTTTAGTTTAGTTTAATGAACGTTTTGGTGGCACTGTCCAAGCTATTTTTGTAAGAAGGTGTACAAACAGTTTTAAAGGTGTGAACTTCTCTGTTGACAACAATGAGTTTACGCAACAGGACGGTAGGAAGAAGAGGACGGCAAAACGCTGTTGTGTGACAAACGTGACAGGGGTATTACTTGGGTGTTTTGTCGTGATCTTAATTTAAAATTAATGTTTTCTGGTCTTTACAAAAAGATCCATTTGAAGGAAAATGATGTTTGGCGAAGAGTTATTTCAGACAAAATTATTGTCACACTTGTCACACAAGGTTTGCCGCCTTCGTTCCTCTTCCGTCCTTGTCTCATTGGTGCACGTGTGAACCACTGAACCCTATCCAAATATCTTAACCATTATGAATAATTCAAGCATGCCTTCCACCGTCCACCAGGCTCAAACCAGCTAAAACTGTACTTTGAAATGGCGATTTCTGAATAAGGAACACCCCCGCCCCGGCCCTAGCCCCCGCCCCGTCCCCCAATTTCACGGCATTGCTCATTAACCAGTCCATTTTCTTTCTTTCAAAAAAGGTTTCATTACGTCGACCTAAGTTCAGATTTATTAAGACTTACTTGCAAAATTAAAACAGCTTTTCAATGCATAATAATGCCGGTGCTCTTTCGAGAAAAGCCAATGGGTTCAAAATATGAGGGCTCATAAAATAGGTGGCATATTGCCCGAGGATTGCAGGACAGCCGCACTAGCCTTGTAAACTTGACATGTTATAGAAGCCGGAAGATGAAGTGGATCAAATGAGGTGTCTATGTAACTGACTACCTACTTCTCCCCTAAGTCAACATTAACACTTACTTCAATTCTCATTTGGAGCAAAATTGTGACAAAGGGGAGGGATAGGTGGGGTGTTACCCAAAAACCCCAATTGACGCAAAGAAGTTATAAGTTATGTTAATGCAGTGCCAGCCTCGTCCCCATGCCACTTTTCGCTATCCGAGTGAACGAGGGAGGCTTGGAACCGAGCGCGAATTCTCCCGTCAAGCTAGACAGGTGACGTCACATCAGAATTGGGAACAAGGCTTGGTAACTGAGATGAACACTTTATGTTACTGCACAAAGATATATCCCATGGCCTTAAGATCCTTATCACCATTATCTGTACTGTATTTTGCAGCGTTACCACACGTGTTCGACGGGTCATGGGCTCCACCACTACCAAACCCGATTCTGGAGTCGGGGCAGACAATACAACCGTTTTCGTTGTTAGCAATAATGCCAATTCTTGTTTTTGCACAGCCACCATCAAAAACGTTGAACCCTTCCATGTTGCAGTTAAGCTGCAAGGATCCCTCGGAACCGAGGAGTGATTTCCACGTCTCACGACCCAGTGATGTGGCGCGGTGTTGCCCGTCGGCGATTAGTGAGAACAAAGAGTCAGCGGTCTTGTTTATGAGGATAAAATGTTTCTCATCCCGTCCCAAGATTTTCATTCCTAGGCAGATTTTGGAGAAGGACGTGTTCCAGTAAGTTGGCAACTTGGTCTCCTGTTGATCGAACCCAGTATGACCACCAGCAAGGTTAAATGTTTCGTTATTGCTCCAAAGAGTAGAGTCGTACTCGAAGTTTACCTATTGATAATTAGGTTTTCAAAGTGAGTAGTGATATAACAGGAAGCTAAAGCAAAGGTGTTTTTGAGCGACGCATGTCAAATGGAGTGGATTTGTTGCATTCTTGGGCATTGAGTTTTGCCCAAATTTTCGGATAACTCGTCTAGTTAAGAGTAAAGACACTAACCATACAAATTTGGTAGCGGAAGGCATATTAAAGGAAAGGGAAAACACCTCACTTCAGATTGACGTGCGTCGCTCAAAAACTCCTTTGCTTAAGCTCCTTATTATGCTCCGCGATGAAACTCGTATTTGTTGTTCGAGGGAAATCGTGTCATACAACAACTCTGTCACTTGAAATGTTTAGTCCTTTTTATTGACTTTAATATATTGAGAGACTTTCTGTTGCGTAAATATTTTTTAATAATTAGTTTCTTTCATCGACTTTTGGTAATTTAGGATAGGGAGAGTGTGTTTGTGCAAATTGCCTAAGATGATAAGCGGTAACGAATCCGAACTGACAACCTTGTTCCCAGAGTTCTCTGGGAGGAGGAGAGTAAGAGGAGAGAGCCATGGGACCAAGGTTGTCTAAATAAGGAATTCGGCCGTTAATGACGTCATATGACATTATTACGGACACGTGAAATCTTTAAAACACTTGCACTTTTTGCGGACGCACTTGCCTAACAAAGCCTAACACCATTGCTAAGAGGGAAACGGGAGGCTCTGGGTACGAGAATGCCTTGAGGAGGAAGACTATGGGATTAAGCTGTAGGATCTGTTTAACGCTACGTACCTTTGAGCCATCAATCTTCATGACCAGCGTCCAAATACCGCCGCTACATGGTCCAAGAATAGTTTCGTTTATTTCGCAGTAGACAACGATTTTTCCATGTACTGCAATCCGCTCATACGATATCATTTCTCTGGATCTAAAATGAAATAAACAATCATGTTGGTGTCTAAAATAAAATTGCGGCTATGTTGGTGTTCCAAACCGATCCTGTGGGGGTTTAACCTTTCCCTTTGCAAAAACTTTCATTTGCTCAGATAAAATGGCGTAGCGTCGGTTGCCTGTGAGCTGAAAACGCTCTAAAAAGAAGAGTAAGGGAATGGAAAAATAATAAGAGCTCAATGTATTTTATTCATTAGATCAAAGACAAAGGGCTACGTCTTAAAAATATAACATTGGATCCAGGCTAATTGGCCTTCGAGAAACTAAGCCAGAGATTAGGTTTACTAGTCCCACATACATTTTTTGTTTTATTCTCCTCGTCTCCAGAGTTTCAGTCCACCTTCTTTGTTTCCTTGTTTTGTTATTATGTGTGATTGTTTACTGGCGCCAAAACTTTTAACAAACTCCCTTTAAACATTATGTAGAGTGAAAAGATTCAGTAACAGACGTTCTGCCACCGAGAAAGACATTTCTTTTTTATCAGAACTTTGGTATTTTATTATATTTTAGGCTTTAAATGTCATTTTGGATTGTATTTTTCAATTACTTTTTTAAGATAGGGCCCCTATGGAGACCAGCTTTAGAGCTGAATGGGCTACCCTGTGTAAATAAAGTTTTACTGTACTTTTCTTTACTTTACTTTGTGCAGGGAGTTTTTAGTAAACAAACGTAAAATCTTCACAGTTAGGATTAACTCCCTTTGCCGCACGTGTAATGTGAGTGCGAGATACAATTTTCTTCCATTTTTAAGCCTTTCATGGTACTTACATATTCCGATGGTAAAGTTCTCCACACGACATTGCTGCGTAATTGAAAATAAAAGAGAAATCCATATACATAAAGGGGAACATGTTGAGATTATAGAAAGTTAGTTAATGTGCAAATTATTCTTAGTATTAAACTTCGAAATATGTTAACGATGCGAACCTACGGTTAACTGTTGATATTTTTCGATCTTTTGGCTTGTCTATGGCTAGCCATTAATTTCTCTCCACTTCTGTTAACAGACATCTTAAGAAGAAAAATCATTTGTTTTGAAAACAAGAAGTTTCTATTGGTTAAGGACCGTTCCATCGATTTCAAGGAGAGGAGGATAGCGCTGAAATAGGGACCATATGCATGAGCCACAAGACAAAACGCGTGAAGTCCTGACAGGTAATATTGACACTCTTTACATGACAAATTTTTTGCTAGAAAAATTTTTACGGTTAACTTTTTTTCTACGTACGACTAACGGTTAAAATTTTCACTTTTTACGTCTAATGATCAAATGTTTTAGCTGTTTTACGGCTAACGGTTAGTCCCATCGAGACTCTTCCAACTAGAAAATGTATAGCCTGCCAGCAAGCTCTCCCGGGGGTACGTGGGTAAACCTTGCTCATAGGATAGAAAATGTAGCATAATTACCACACGGTATAGCCGCTGGTGTTTCATCGCTATTTTGAAGTTTCTAGTCGTCTAAAGATTTACATTAAGTCCACAAAAGCTGTAAACTTTAAAACCCGTTAATTTTTGTGACTAAAAGTTTGTGCAGTTTAAAACTGACTCACGTGTACAATTGTGAGACCCATGAGTATTATTGCATATGTCATGTTTATTACATTTGTGCATCCCAGTAGCACATTCATCAATATCTATAAAGAAAGCAAATCAGAGTCAGCAGTCAGATAGCCAAAATAAAATTACTGAGGTACAAAATATTTAGGTAAAACTTCGTAGTTATATGCGATACTTGAGGGAAAATTACGGGCGGGACAAACTTTACTCCAAAATTGTCAGTATCACGTGATCACGTAGCCTGCGAGTAGAGCCGTCTCTCTTCACTTCTCGCCGCCTGGGACCTTTTCGCCGGAGTCTTTCTCGCCTCTCACGCTAAACGTCCCTAACGGCAAGGAGCGAGAAGAACGGCTGCTTCGCAGGCTACAGTCCCACTGGCAAACCATAAAGCATTTTTTAGGGTTAAAAAACAGTATATAACGCGAAGAACAGTGAAGACACAAACTAAGATAGCTTTATGGCGTCGTTTTCCAACAAGGTCTTTGCGGAATATCCGGAAAAGAGATTCCGGCCAGTAGCTCAAAACGCTGGCACTGCCCACCGGATAAATCACTATCCAAGGCGGGGGTAACCGTTACGGAAACTAAGAAGCCCGCATTGTGTGCTGTATCTGAGACTGGGTCAGGGTTAGTTGCGTCAAAGTGCATTATGGACTGTTCTTGGGGATAATTTTTCCAATTAGTTCTTTGGTAGCCTAGTTATAGCTAATAGGGAGTTTTAGCAGCGACGACGGCGACGGCAAATCGAGCATAAAAGTTTTTCTGGGATCTATCTTCGGAACAACAGCTGGCATAAAAGTTCTTAGAGTAAACAATTAGCACGCATTGATGGCAATAACGATGACGGCATTCTACCTTGACAGTCCTTTCCATTTCCAAGAAATCCCTGTTTACAAGTGCAGTTGTAGGATCCTATCAAATTGACGCATACAGCATCTGGACTGCAGTCATGTGTTCCAGCGGTGCACTCATTGATATCTGAGGAAAATAGAAAAGGTTCTAACAAACTCGACAATGACTGATTTTGTTTGCGAGCAGGGTTTGTAGACTTTGTACAAAACAAAACACTACCCCATTTGAAAACTATCAAGACCTAAAAAAAGTGTCATTTGAGGAATTAAAAATTCATTTTCTGGAGCTTAGAAGGCCAGTAAAGTAATTTTGGCACATGTCCTTTGTCTCGTAATGCAAAGCTCCTCCTTTGGGGGGGAGCGTTAACGAGGAGAGCTGCGTATAACCTCGTCCCCTGGACTTAACCCTAAGAAAAAAAGGAGGAAAAAGGGAAAAGTCACAGTGACGAGGTTGCGCTGCGCGACGCGTGAGACACTAGAACGGCTGTCTGTTAAGGCTGCTTGAGACGACCTCATAACCAAGTTCCTCTCTTTACCTCTACAAACGAAAAGACAGAAGACTCTAGGAACAAGGTTAGTGCGGTATCTTATGCCTTTGAATAAATCCCCACAACTCTCTTAAAACACTTCTAACGAGTTTTTCATGTCTCTTACCGTTTTCACAGTGCTCGCCAGTAAAACCTGCGGTACACGAACAACGGTATTTTTTGTCGGTGAAACCGGTTTGACATGTTGAGTTGTTCCTGCAGGGGTTGTTGACACAGGCACTCTAGAAGAAAAAGATAGAATAAAAGCTCTATCAAAAGGCTGTTCCAGCCCGCGCGGGGGCCCATTTCAGCCCTTGGGAGCAAATCAGCCCTAGCTAATTGGACTGTACTGGCCCTGATTTCAAGGAGCCAAGTTAGACTCAAAAATAGGACTGTATTTTACTCACCCAACCGGCCCCATTTTTAGGGCTAAAACAGATCTTTCGGATTTACAGTGAATCCTTATAAAAATTAGTTTAGTGAAAGGAAATGGAAGTAGCCCATTTTTACCTAAAGCTAAGGTAAAACGGGCATAAAAACATGCAACTTGTTGAACAACATTGCTGCAAAACGAGCTTGCCCGTTTTACCACCCACGAAGCAAACCTGTCTTGTAACAAATTAGGTTGAGCAGGTTGCGAAAAGTCTTTCCAGAAAGTAGAGAGCAGTTCTACTTTTTGCAACAAAATCTGTACATTTTGCACGTTTTACTTGTTTTGCAGCAAGTGATGAAAAAGAAAAAACAGTATTTGTTTCTCACAAACTAATTAACAGTTGTCTTTGTGATGTAATTCCATCTCAGTTTGACAATTCAAACGAAATTTCTTTAGCAGGCCCTGCTGGTTGTTCAAACGATGGATAGCGCTATCCACCGGATAAATCACCATCCAACGGGGTAGTATTAAGGAAACCAACTGAAAAAAACTGGGGCCAGTTCTTAAAAACGGTCTCATGTAAACATGAGGCTGTAGCCTGCGAACAAGTTCTTCGGAACTCGCCCCACATCCCTCCCCTATCCCCCCTAACCTCGCCCCCAGGGCTTTTTCCTTAGAGACCGGGAGGGGTGCCCGCTGTCACAGTGATATGGGCATCCCCATTCCCAAAACCCTAGTGATCGGCATCCCCTGTAACCCTAATCCTAACCCTAACCCAAATCACTAGAGGAATATGATAAGGGCATGCCGATATCACTAGGGTTTTGGGAATGTGGATATCTTGCATGTAGGCTAGTGAGACTGAAATATTTGGAGGCCGATACGCATGCTGGCCCCCCGTTACCCTAACTCCGTCCTTGTTGTTGTAGTGTACAATTGTACGAGATCTAGACCCCAACGGAGTACTCTCATAAATTTGGGATAGGTGTGTGCCGCTCAGGGTCTTAACACCTGACTCTTTTTTTACGGATAAAACAAACACATACGTATACCCGATTTAAGGCCCAAACCTAAAAATTGAGACCCAATTTAAGGGAAAAAAACAAAAACTATTTAAGAATTTGCTGAAAATTACACATCCTCCTGAAATCGCTTTCCTGATAATCTAATCAGTTAAGTTCAAGATTAACAGATGATTTGTTTCTCATCTAGATGGAGATTAACGCACGTGGATTTTAACTGATAGAATAACGGCATGTACCCTATCCAAGGGTCTCCCCAACAGCCCCAACAAGGGCAAAAATGATACCATAAATTATTTAAACCATGGAGACCATCAAAAACGCTTCCCTATCTGGCGGCACATGTGACATGCCTTTTAGCACTTGGAAGTACACCCCCCCCCCCCCCCCCCCCCCCCCCCACCCCCCCTGTTCCCGTTCTCCCCCCTCTTCCCGTCAACCAACAAATATTTTTATTTTCCCCTCCCCTTTTTTTTTTTTTTCTGTTCGTGGTTTTTTTTTACAACTTGTTTTGATCCACCTACTTGATTGTATTTTTTTATATTATAAATTGCGTGTGCTGGTTCTCGATATGTAGAGAGAACACACGAGCCTCTACTCAATGACACAACAAAAATAAAAACCCGTACAGCACATCAAACCCCCCCCCCGCCCGGGCGGCGCATGCGATCCCCTTTTCTCCCCTCCGAACCACCCCCCCCCCCCCCCCCCCCCAAACCCCCAACCCTTTGGCCTGAGCTCACCTTAGTTCCGCGATAAACAAAATTTTGATCATTCTCCAGATCATCTTCGTTGCTTTCGTGAGTAGAGTTGTTCAGCTCACATTTGTGGACTCCAGCTTGACTAGTCGATATTTCAAAATTGTAACTAGCGCAGTTAGGTTCCATGAAACATAAATAACCACACGAATCCTCATCAACGACTTCAACGACATTTACAACGTGATTAAGTAAACGTTTTCCGATGAATGTTTGTTCAGGCTTGAAGACCAGTTCACGACATCTCTGATCTATAGACATCAACAGTAAACTTAAATATTTTGTTATATCCATTTTGAAATCTCTAGAGATCCCTGCAACATGATTGGCTCTCAGCAGTGTGATTTATTCACAAATCACACTTTTTTTTTCTGCTCTAAACCAAGTCTCTTCTAAATCACGCCATTCATGTTGTCGGTCATCGCACCATTTTCGCTCTACGATAATAATAATGGATAATCATAAGCCTTATTTATCCCCCTGTAAAAAATAGCATAAACAATGTATTACATAATTAAAGGGGAAAAACATATACTGTGAAATACTATTAAATAAATTTCAAATAAAGGTAAGTAGAAACAAACAGATCATAAAAGGAGGAGTCTTGCAGCTCTTGCTGAAAACGAGTTAATATAAAGTTTGCGTTCCTGACTGGTATCGCTACTGAACCTGGTTCAGAACGATTTACAGTAACTGTTGTCAGTGATTTTAAAAAAGTGATTTTGAAATAAACGCCGCCCTCGATTAAACGCCGCAGATGGAAGCAAAACTACCAATAAATGCCACCCAGGAATAAACGCTGCACCTCTTCAAGACGATTGCGGCGTTTACTCGAGGATAAGAAAAAACTCGGTACAACTTGGCAATTTACACCATCCAGACATTTACGATTCTATCTCAGCAAAATAAGAGACATTGGAACCTTTCAATTACATAATATTTACAAACGATTTACAGTAACTATTGCCAGTGATTTAAAAAAGGTGATTTTGAAATAATCGCCGCCCTCGATTGAATAAACGCCGCATGGGAAACGCTAATGATTTAATGAACGCTGCGACTTTTAATGAACAGGGGCACCCAACGTCAATTTTCGGAAAATATCTGTTCGGAAGACGATTTGAGATCTAGAATTTTCGGCACATTTGTTGTAAAATTTCTTGTTTCCCTGCATCTCCTAAGATTTGCGAACATCTAAAAAACGGTATAATTGCCCATTTTTACAGGATTTTTACTCTAAAAAGGTCACCTAGAATTTTCAGGAGCTTTTTTTCTGGCTGAAATTTTCAAAAAGGTTAGTTTTGATCCCTATAATTTTCGGATCACTAGACTTTAGGCTAGGTAATTGTACTTCGTGTCGTGCAATTTTGGTCTGAAATCATGCTTCACACTTGTGATTTCAAATAGATCGCGGGTATGATTTCGGACCAAATTGCACTCCACTTAGTTCAAGTGCTATCATTTATCACAAGAAAGTTTCCCTCAGGATACTATCGTTTTGTGTTTTTAACTTTTTAATACCAATTTACTCAATGGAGAAGTGACCTTGGCAAGTGACACGGCCTATTTTCAATAAAGACATGACTGCATATACACTGCAGTACACATTTTTTGACTCTGATCTGAGGCCCCGTCCTCTCGAATCCTGCGGATATTTTTGAAACCATCTATTTGTTTTACATGAATCCTCCTTTCCTCCCACACAAATACCAGTAAATTCACTCATTTATGGGGGCCTATCCGTACGGTTTACTGTGCGGTTTAAGAAATATTTGGATTCGAACGAGGCTTGAATTTTAAACGGCTGATCGCGAAGGATTCCTGATACACTAAACCCGAAAAAAGCTTTTGTTTTAAAACGCGCAAATTGTGTAATTCTTAATAAATATTAGTGCAACTTTGGTAGTCTGTGTAAAATCGACAGTCTAGTCTTAGCAAATGCCTGGAGAAAGACAGTTTCTTTGAAATAATCATTCTGCAATGGCGGAGCGTCGATGATGGGCGTCAAAATATCATTGAAGAGCACTGGTAAAATTTCTTCTTGGAATATCGTATATCCAAAGAGCACGGTCACGCACGATAGAAACAAAAATAAATTAAAACAGTCATAAACTAACCTTGTGATATGGTTCCGCCTGCTATTTGAAACAGCAAACTGAATAGAGAGGAAAAGATGAAAGTAGAAAGCATGACAAATTACATTTTGGACGGATACGAAAGGTTTTCGTTTATCAATCCGGAGTACATACTTTCGGTTTGGTGAAATCTAGTTTGGTTTATATACATATATAAAAAATTAACGGACTTTGTAAGTAGCAACAGGGCTCTATCCAGATCATTCTATACTAGTCGATAAACGGTAGTTATTAAAACTCGTTGTTAGTTTTTCCACTGTTTGAAGTAGTGGACAATGTTTTAATAAATCGGTATATCCTCATTTATTATACTCCTACAAAAATTTGCCTTCATTTCTTGAACTATACTATTGACATTAATTCCCAACTCAAAACACTACAAACGGTTATTTATTTGATAAGCAAACAGCTCAATTTTAGCATTTCAAAAACACCTGCTCATGTTAGCCTCTGCATTCAACTCTGTTTTATTTAAAAAACAGTTACTCGGACCGTGAGGAGTCTGCACAAGAACAGGAAAAAGAGAGAGGCCCTGGGAACGAGGTTGACTTCGAGCCCCGCTGAAGTAATTAAATACTTGATATAACCATTTGAAATCACTTGTGATCCCTGCAATCTGATTGGCTGTCAGGAGTGTGATATATTCACAAATCAAACTTTTATTTTTGGCTTTAAATCACGTCAGGATATTCATGTTCTAGATCGTGTCATTTCTACTCTAAATCGCGCCATTTTCGCTCTATATTGCAACATTTCTATTTCGTGAACAAAATGAGATGTAAAAGCCTACTTATTACCTACTAGATCAAATGAATATTGGTACTGAATGACTTCTGCGATTTCAAAACGGATGTTACAGTGATAAAGACATACTTTTACTTCATGTCGTGCAATTTTCATCTGACATACTTGTGATTCTAAATCGAACTCGCGCTGGGTGCTCGTCCGATTTTAAAATCACGCGTATGACAAGACCAAATAGCACGACACGAAGTACAATTAAGAAGTACTATTATTTTGTATATTTACCTTTTTAGTACCGATTTACTTAATGGAGAAATGACCATGACAAATGGCACCGCTTATGTTCAATAAAGACGTGACTGCATATACGCTGGGGTACACCTTTTTGACTCCGATCTGAGGCCCGTCCACGCAAATCCGGATATTTAATTTTTGAAAGCATCTACTTTTTTACATCAGTCAATCAAAATCAAAAACTTTATTAACGTGTCAAAGTAGCTAGCCGAGAGTAATACCCCTCTATTAATAGAAGACGCTTAAATCGTCCATTTCTACTCGCAAGAAAATCACTTAATTCACTCATTTATCAGGGCCATATAGACGGGGGCTGAAGTTTAAACGGCGGACCGCGAAGAATACAATACAATAACCTAAAAAAAAACTTTGTTTTAAACCGCGGAAATTGAGTTCTGTTTAATTAATATTACCGCAAAGTTCTTTGTTAGTCCGTGTAAAATCGACAATCGAAGCAGTAAATGCCTGAAGAAAGACACTTTCTTTAACATAATCAGTCGGCAGTGGCGGAGCTTCAAAGATGAACGTACGTCAATTATTGAAGATCACTCGTAAAATTTTCTTGTTGGAACATCGTATATCCAAAGAATACGCGCACGATAATAACAAAAAGAAATTAAAACAGTCTGAAACTAACCTTGCGATATGGTTCCGCCTGCTATGTGAGACAGCAAATTAAACTGAATAAAGGGGAAAGATGAAAGTAGAAAGCATGACAAATTATTTTTGGAAACGAAACTTTTTCGTTTGTCAGTAAACCCGAGGTGCAAATATTTGGTTTAGTAAATTCTCGTTTAGTTTATATGTTTATTCATAAATTTTAACGGATTTTGTTAGTAACAGCAGGTTCTAGATCATTCTAGACTGTCTAGTTGATAAACAGTAGACATTTAAACTCGCTGTTAGTTTCTCACTGTTTGAAATGTTGGAAAATTTTTCCATAAATCATCATTTCCTCATTTATCATTGTCCTGCAAAAATTGGCCTTTATAACTGTATTATTGACATTAATTTCCAACCAAAACACTTCAAACGGTTATTTATTTGGTAAGCATATAGCTCAATTTTAGCATTTCAAAACTACCTGCCAAACTTAGCCCCCGTAAACAACTCTGCCTCCGGTTTAAAACTGTTACAAAGACCGCGAGGAGTCTAAGAACAAGAAAAGGAATTGTATCCTCGGTTACGTTGTAGCTACTACATATGTGAGTCTTCGCAGCTATCCATCAATAGAATGCGATCAACTGCAAAGTGCATAAACCCTAGACTGAGTAGTACCCTTTTCAGAGTATGTCAGGAATATCTTTTCATTTATTTCCTTCTTTCTTGTCTTCACCTGTATGAATTATAGGTTACCAATCTCGTAATCAATATGCTTCTTTTCTATTGTTCCTTTCCTGTTTCACTTCAGTGACCTGCTCAGCGTCCATTTATTGAAAATATAATATTCTGTTGAATCCTTAGAGACAGTGCTTTAATTATGTACCTATTCAACTTCTCTGTCTAAGATCCCTCTGTGGCCTAGGTAATAATCAGATGCAAGCCATGTAGCGGATATGGACAAAGAGTTGAAATTATTTGAAAGCGCCACATTGGAGTGCATATCTACATGTTAGATGCGGCTTACGATTGAGCGTGAGATTATATTTTGCTATCTTGTTGTGTCCGCAAGAGATGTTTGTGGTTCGCTGGTTTTACTGATCCGCCCAAACCATCTGGGTGGTATCGCAAATATATAGGGAACAGAACAATAGAGGAGATGTCAGCCAATCAGAAAATCCTGACGTCACTATAACTGATAAAACTAATGGGATAATACTAATTCTATAACTGGTTTGTTCGTTGTTGTGATTTCGAGGGAGGGAACCTTAATTTGAATATAACCTTTGCTGACCCAATCGTTTAATTGAAACCTATTGAAGTAAGCTGAAAGAAACGGCATTCTGATTATCGATGCTGGCATTCCCAGATTCATTAATCAGCGACGTTTATATTAATTCTCTTACTAATTTGTCCTTGTTTTGACGAGGTAAGTAAACTGCGTCAATATAATCGGATGAGCCGGTTAACTGTGAACATCAGATCATTAATACAAGAAAGAAAAATGAACGACTGTCCTAGCGTACCGGTTCATTTTTAGTTTACTGTACCGCTAGCGCGTAAACAGCCGACCAAAACTGTGCTGATGTTGATAGTTGTTTTTGTTTTCTTTTGGTGTACACAAAGACAAAAGGCACTGGTTGTCGCCAAACCAAATAAGTGTTTAAGTTTTTTTGCGAGTTTGTTTTTAAAGTTTTCATAAAAACAAAACATTGAACGTAAGTCATAACACCCTTTGTTTTAGATGGACAGTAAAAATGCAAATTGTTATTGTGGTTACGGTTAGTTGAGTTCGGTGGTGAGCTTAAAACAAGACTTACTTAACGCGAATAGACCTACTATTAAGGTCCTTGCATCAACCTTTGTTTAGAACTAATGCAAAGTTCTTGACGTCCTTTCTAACCATTGACATTGTGACATGTTGCCGAACCTACGTTTCTTTAACTTTGGCTCAACATTGTCTCGCCGTTTCTTCTTTAAAAGGAAACTCAAACGAAGGCGTTTTTGAGCGACACACGTCAATAGGAAGTTAGGCCCTTTTGTTTAATATGCCATGAAGCCCAAATTTCTATTATTGAGTGCTTTTAGTCTTATATAGAACGCTTTTCCCGAAAATTTGGGCAGCTCAATCAATCAATCAATCAAACTTTATTTATAGAGGGTAACACGCAATAGTTTAATAGACAACTAACAAACTTGTGGCCGCTCTTAATTAGAAATATGTTACAAGATAAAAGTAGGGGGAAATAGGGCCCAATGGCTTATGAGGGTTCATAAAATAGGCAGCATATTAATAAGGAATGGGAGCAGCCGCACTAGCCTTGTAAACTTGACATGTTATTAAAGCCGTAAGAAGTTGTCCAAATAAGGTATCGTAATTGGTGGACTCCCGTTAACTGAGACGAACCGTTTATATCACTGCCCCCCCCCCCCCCCCCCCCCCAATTTAGGGAAATAAAAAAAAAAAGGGTTTTCCCCGGCGCGGGCACCCCCCCCCGAAAAAACCGGGGGGGGGGGGGGCGGGGGTCTCCCCCCAACAATTATAATAAAAAAACAAAAGCACGCACGACGCAGCCCGAGCGGGAGATAT